TTCATTATTTTGACCCTAGGCCACAGCACATATGTTATCCAGTAATCATTTGTGTAGGGCACAAAACTGGCACGCTCAATCCCGTGTTTCTGAACTGGGTCACTGTGAGAGCATATTGTACGTATGTTGTGTGTTTATTTTTAATATTCACAGATGCCTGCTCTTCCTGTGCGCTCCTGTGTTAAGACCATCAGTCATCTACGCCAATTAAGACTTTTAAACTTTCTAACTGAACAGATAGACGATGAGAGAGGCCAATCAGATGCTAATTACTCGCACAGAGAAGTTGGGTTGTTGTTACTTCCAATGTTTGCAACTTCAGGGGGTCACATGATTTTAGAGCCTTCTGTGAAGACTGTATTTGCAGCAGCTTTCTTCATGTTATTAGTCTAAAACAGGCCAACTACTTCATGCTGCATGCTATTTTATTAATTACAATGGAGAAAAACATTTTTATATTTTATTGGGCCAATGAACCTCTGTCTACAAGCCCAAATGCCGGACAAAATCAAAAGTTGACAGACTAAACCAGGACTACAATAAAGATGAGTGCTGTGACTGAAGGTAGTGCAGTGACACGAAACTAATCTGAAGAATCAGGTCTATTACGTTATTTTGTCATAACCGTATGTAAATTTAAACTCTAATTAGACATATGACAATGGTTGTCGGTGTCAGTCTGAAGTCTGTTATATTACTATAATGATACACGTCCAACATATAGTGGAGCGCTAGACTTCTGGATAATATGTTCGGATTTGTCTTATAGAAGCAGGAGACCTCTTGTTGTGTTCAAATGAAAACAGTTGCAGATTTCGGACACCACTGGCTCACTGACCTTGGCGATGGTGGGGTGCTGTGGCGCTCCTTGAAGAAGAAAAGGGTCTCGGACTGCCCGCTGTAAACAAAGTTGACTTGCCGACAGATGGATTGAATGACAGAGGGGCTAAGCGAGCCAGGATTGGGCCTGGCAGTATGGCGGCGCACAGAGACACGGAGTGAGAGAGGCAGAGAGAGAGGAAGATAAAGGAGGGGGGAGCGCAGAGGAGAGGTGGCCAACAGGAGAGGAGGTGTGAACAGGTGCAGGGCCGCTGAAGGAAGAGCCAGCAGATGGAGAGAGACACAGCCAGTTTAGTTACAGGGAAAAAGGTGGGAGGGGAAAGAGAGGGGAGGAGGGGGAGAGTTGAAACCACTCACAGTGCAGACAGACCGATAGGTGGACAGACAGACAGCAGAGATACATCAGGCTGCCTCTGCGCCCGATGTGTTTGTTTGAGAAGAAAAGGGTGTCAGATGAAAGATGTGGGTGCAGTGCTACCGATCACATCACCCTAAGGTTTGATAAAATGTGTTAAAAACACATTGAGGTGTGTGAGAGAGAGAATAGTGTGACACCGTGTGGTCTGCTGTAGAGAACAATTCAGATGTTTATTGTACACCGCGCTAATGATACGGCAGCAAGGCAATTGTTCAATATGTCACTTCATTTTGAGCATGACGGACTCGCTGGATTTTGGCAGATCTGCATGAGGCCTCTGTCTCACTGTCTCTCAGCCACACATGGGTGCAAAAAATACACTCGCACACATTAGATATTAGGTTTGTAGTTAATCGTAGCAAACTGTTGAATATTAATGAAGCAGGATGATTGATGTAGTCTATCATAAATAGCTGTGGACACATTGGAATTCCTCCACACAAATTAATCACCACGAGTGTCACCATTCTAATCAGGATGTGAGGGTTAGGGCTCATAGTTGTAAACGCATTCATTCTCACTTTCACACAAGTATTTTGATGTCTAAAATATTACTTCAAAATCTACATTACTTCTAAAATCTAACCTGCTGTCAATGTCTCATTCTTTTTGCTGTATTATAATGTAAAAAAAATCAATAAAACAACTTTGGAGAAAGATTGTTGGTTTCAATACTTAGGGTAGATTATTACAAATGCAGAAATGCTGTAAATAGATTGGTTTTGATGGATTAGTTGTAAACCTAGAAAATCTTGAATACATTAGAATTACATTACAAATGTGTAAATGTACCTTGCATTTACTACTACTACTACTATAATGGTTTTCTTTGTTGGACTACTGTTGTTCTATACATGGTTCTTTATTTTATGCTCAACTTTTGGATAGTTCATCAAAGTCCTCTAACAATTCCTTTTTTTTTGCTGCAAACAAACCTTTGTTTTTTGCACTAGGTGTTATATGCTGGGTTCACAATCTGTTCACCTGTATGTTAATTCAGCACCTGTTTAGTGACATAAATACATGTTGAAAGTATGAATATGTATAAAGGGATGATTGGGAGTTGATGCATTTTCCCTATACACTGAAACAACAAACTATCTCCTTTCACGTCCCCTGTAGGCAGAGCTTCAAAGTTTTGGCCTACATAGAAATGTGGGTCTTTATAGCTAAAGCTAGTACTGATATATCAGCTTTTATATGTGTTTTACATGTGAACGTCTCATGCTGCATGTTTACCACTGCATGTCTGTAGTTGAGTATGGAGACTGCATGAAAAGTGAGTAATCTCTTCATTCTATCCAGGCAGCGGTCAACAGTCTAGCGTTGGCGGATGGCTTCAGTTCCTCCAAGTCCACCGTCTGACTCCAATTTGTGCTCGTTCTCTGATAAACCGCGGCATTTGGTGGTTCTGGCGTAGGAAAGCAGCTTCACCGTGGGGTGCAGCAAACTCTGCGCTTGGTCAGGCCCTGGCACCCCACATCTAATGGACAACAGCTTGAATAGTGCCCACTTAGGCAGACAGTGTGGACTGGACCCCCTTCACTCCCACACAGCTCCAGCCTCTGCCTCTGCCACCCCCTCTTACCCAGCAGCCCCAGTACCTGGCCGCTGCCCCAGAGCCATCGCTGCTACCTTAGGCCCCTGGCCCACGCAGCTCCCATCGCACTTACCAAGCTGTCCTGCCACGCATCAGGCCAGGCATATCCAAACAGCCACAGCTATCGGCTTACTCAACACTCACTATAGGCACTGAGGCTCCAACCGCTCAGAGCTCATTCACAATTAGCTCCAAGGCAGATTATTGTCCACAGAGAGTCCACCCGCTCCAGCAGCACACATCCAGCCTCTGCGCTTACATCGGCCCTGACAGCTCCAGGGCCTGGCTCTCTGTCCCTGTGTCGCCTCTGTTAAATGCTGTATTCAACAGTGGTCATTTTGTAATTAAGCATTTTGTATTTGGTTTAGAAGCTAGCAAAAATTAGAATATTAGAGTTTTGCTTTTTTCCCTATATAGTTTATTTTTTAGAATTACTAAAGAATCCATCTATTAACAGAGAAGAGGCATTGCTTTACTGAGTTTAGGTTACAACTCTTAACTTTAAAAATGTTTCTTTTTAGAAAATAAAATAGAAAAACTGTGCCCCTCTCATCTTTTATCCTTGTCCCACCGGATCCTTGTGACCACTCCATTGGTCTCTCACTGACTGCTGGAACTTTCTGGCTGGCTGTCGGATGCTAATTGGTGGGTAAACAGGTCTAGTGCCCCCCCTGCTTCACGATGGCACATAAACACACATACAGGCACATACACGCAGATACACAAATACACACGGCCCCCTGGAACCTCTTGCAGGACCAAATGGCTGGCAACGCCTGCCCGCCATCTCCCGCTGAGCCCTGGTGTGCGCTTTGGTGGCTCAGGCTGCTGTTCAAGCCCAGCGGGGGTTCATCCACTCACACACACTCACACACACACACAACCGCGTACAGTCATCGGCGTAGACACATACTCGCTCCTTGTGTCCCCTGCACACCCGCCACCCGCTTTCACACCCCAGACAGCAGGACAGCAGGAGAACACACACACACATGAGGAACAGACAGACGCGGTCACTTTAGAGATGCAGGCCAAGCGCTGTAGGGGAGAAAAGTTTTCACTTAAACTGGAGAATTCTCTCTTCATTAGCGCCTTTGGACTTCAGGAAGAGTTCTGTTTATTTGTTCGTCTTTCCACGTCTTTGTAGTTTTTTCTCTTCGGTCTTTGTCTGTTTCTCTCGTGTTTGGCTACATTTGGGCTTAGATCAGTAAGAAAGTTTTGTACAAATTGGAGAAAATTAGTCGCTGTTGAACAAAAACACAAATGAACACCTTTTGTTTGTGTGATACCTGTGGGAAGATTAAAGTGGTGGGACATGGGTGAAATTTGTTGAAGTAACTATTCAGAATTTGTTATATATGTTTAAAATAACATCTTATTCAATCATAATTATAATACAATACAAATTTTCAAGGTGAATTTACGGGTTGGTCTGACCACTTGACATCATGTGGGACAGTAGACAGCTGCCTATTCACTCAGGGGTCTTCAAAATGACAGCCGTCCCCTATCTCCCCCAAGTCCTTTGTCATCTGCCTTCTTTGTCAACCTAAGTTTTTAATGTCACCTTTTGTTAAAATTTTAAATAGTTTAGATAAAGTCTGGAGGCTGTTATGCCATTGTGTGTCATACAGTACTAAGAACATTTCTCTTAACAACATGATACTGCATTTTTTGTCAAAAAACATCTGTTTGTGAGAGCTTCTGTAATGAAATGTAATGTATACGCCAACGCTTAATTACGCTCTCATGTAGGTTGTAAACACAAGAGTAAAAGAGACCTTATTTTTATTCATTTGATAATTTTCCATCTGTAGTCTTATTGCACCTTGAATCTCCATAAAATTTCTGGTTATGCTTAAACGTATAGGAAGACATTGTGGGCTGATATGAGACTGTCTTCACGCTTCTTTGGCAGCAGATGATGAGTAAGCGTTGATCAAGCACACTTTATCGTTTAACTGTTTGAGTGAAAGCTCATTTTACACATGGCTGGCCAATCAGTGACACTTGGGAAAAATAGTCATAAACACATAAGTATAGTAACTAAAATGTGTTATTGAAAGGCCACATTTGAGCTGTGCCTAGTATTACTACAATGTCATTCAACACCTTGTTTTTTTTTTTCATTTTTTTGCTCAGACAGGAAAAGGAAAGTGCAGATCGGGCATACGAGGAGCGAATAGCTTCTACAAACCTGGCGGCACAGGAGAGAGAGCAGGGGCTGTCCACAGAACTGGAGAAGACAGAGGCCAAGCACCAAAGGACAGGTCAGTCCTTTCACACAAGTGCACGCACACACACGCACACACACACCTACACAAACTAAACTTTTGGATAGTGTCTACAGAGTCAGAGTCAGTGACACAGCGTTACTCATACTGTCAACAGCATTTAAATGAATAACCTACAAAGCAAGATATAACTACACATTTGAATAGATTTGTTGTTGTCTATGTATGACCTTTTTTTGCATCCTCTTACACTCTATGATCTTATGAACTACGAATGAGAACACCTCAGTTGTGTCTCAGTTGAATTTTCTGTTGGGGCCTGTTTGCTCTTTGTAGCTTCACCTACTCTGTAAATTTTTTTCTTTATACTTATCTTTCTCAAATAGTGTAAACATACAAATCTGAGAGGCAAGCCAGACCCTTTGCCATTCTATTTGAAGGCAGGAGTGTCTGAAAACAGTTTAACTCTTTTGACGTAGATTTATTTATTACACGTCTGTCTAATGTGAAGTCATTTCTGTCTCAAATATCCACACATCATTCTGAACTAAATAACTTATCTCAGTTTAACAGTGTTTAATTAATCACACATTGATCTGGCTATGCTGTTTGTCAATCTTCGTTATTTTTTTCCTTTTACATGTAACCCACCATGCTTATTTTGACACAGACACACCATGAGTTTCTCTGATTGCTTAATGTGCCTGTCAATCAGTACTCAAACAGTTCTGATGAGAGCAGTTGGTTTTGCTGAAACCTTAGATAAACTTGGACAATTATTCTGAACTTCTTTACTGCAGCTATTTTTATATTGAATCTTTCCTTTTCCTTAGTTTACACAGCACAGTCAGGAAGAACAAACAACTTAACAGTGGGAAACACAGGGTCAGAAATGCCAAGCTATGGAGTCAGGGTCAGCTGTAGTGTACATAAGGCATATGAGACACAGGAGAGACAGGAGGCCGTCTGTGCGTCCTCCACAAGGACATGTTGGCATGACAACTCCCCTGAACCTGCTTCCTCCATTTAAAAAGATGGCCTCTGTTCTCTCTGTGGCACCTTGCTCCCCACCAGTGCCGCTGAATAGGCGAGTGGGAGGAGGCGGGCAACAACACAAGTTATGTGAGATGATTGAGTTTGAAGCATTGTGACCTCAAGGACCAGAACAGGGGAAAAATACTGGCTAAAGAAAGAGGAGAGCCACGGGGCAGTACAGAGGGGCAGTGCAGAGGGTAGAGGCTGAGTTCAGAGAGCCCCAGCACGGAGCAGAGCACAGAGACACAGGCCCAGCTCGGAACTCCCTGTCTGGAGCACAGTCGAGCTGCTGCTGCTCCCACATCTGTTGCACCATCTGGATTCCCCCCTTCACACACTGCCTCCCCTGCACCCCTACCCTCCCTCCCTCTCAGCTCTTTTTATTTACCTGTGGTTCCCTTCAACAAGCAGGAAGCCCGCTGGTACGCACTACAAAGATGGAGGACGTGAGTGGGGGAGCGGGACAGGGCGAGGGGGGTGAACAAAGGCCTGGTTTCTGGCGTGTGTCGGCAGCACACATGTTGTCTAAAGAGAGCTGACATCAGAGCGCAGCAGGACACTGTGAATGGGGAGGGGACAGAGGGAGAGACGTCCTTTAGTAGCCCGCATCACTTCCTCTCCCTGTGCAGCCCAACAGACCATCTTGATAATTAGCTTTTTTGCTCTCCAAATCCCGCCTCTCTGTCCATCCGCTTGTCCTCCGCTCCATCCGTCCCTGTCTCCCTTTTAGTCCACCCCCTCCCACCTTTTTTAGACTTTTTTCTCCTGTTTCTTTTTTAAGTAAAGGCGAACAGAGCGGCCTCTAGATGATATCAGATATTTGTTCCTCTCCCTGCCTCCCTCCCTCATTTTCCTCTGTTTGTTTCCAGTGCCAGTTCTGCTGTGTTTCTGTGTCCCAGGGTTCTTTTTGGCCTACGCATGGCCAGACGCATTCAAAGCCTGTTCAGCTAATTAGCATTCTTCGTACAACTTTTCCACCACTGACCAAACTTTGTTTAGTGTAAATCTGTGTGTGTGCATGTGTGAGTTTATGGATCTATGGCATCTAATTTCGCAGCTTAATCTATTTATGTGCATGATGTGAAGACAAAGAGGCATTAATCAACTATTTTCAAATGTTTTCAAATATAATGCCACACATTTTCTTATTTACTCTAGATACTTTTCTGAATAAGCAAATAACAGTGTTTGACAATAAAATGTCTTAAGTGTTACTGGTACATTTGCTGCTCACCTCATGTTACTGTATTGTAATGGTGTGTGCCCAAGTGTGAGGCAGTTTTCAAAGAGAGTCCTTGGTGTTTTTGGTTTGGCTTGACTGTAACAGAATGGCAGAGCAGGTGGATCATTCCAAATGGCAGTCATTGTTATTTTAAAAGAGCAGACATATGTTGGAGAGTGAAGCGCGGTTCATTTCAAAGGAACGATGAAAGCCCAGTGTTGGATTGTTCCGAAAGAGGCCCCTGTGAGCGGACGAGGATGTGGCAGGAAGGGCGCTAAAGGAGAAAGAAAACGTTCAAACAACAGTCCTCTTTTCCACCTCTCCTCCGCCTCTTTTCCGAGAACTGTACTTTGTCTACAGTTTGCATTCTGTTGTTTGAACTATTCTGATGTGAATGTTGACAAAAGCATTTTTTGGGAATACATTCAAAGAGACATAGCTCATTTCTGCTACACCATTTGTTACACTTGGTTTTCATCTAATCTCTGTCCATTATGTGGATGTGGTCTTTTATAGAATGCAGTCCAAATACAGAACCAACTCTAGTTAGGGGGAAAGCGTATCCATATTATTATCTGCTTACATCAATTAATCAAATAGGGGCAATTTTAATTATGTTAAAACTCCTCTCAAATTACTTGCAATTTTCACGCTCTCACATTTTCACAACTGTAATGATAAAGGTGTGTTTTTTAACATTTGAAACTTAAAGAAATTTTGGATATAGATTTTGGAATTAAAGGAATCGTGTATACATTTACTTAAAAGCACTTCATAAACTTAGAGGGCATGTGGGGTTTGTTTAAAAAACGCACTTTTTTGATGTTGACAATATTTAAAACGATTTATTGTACTGTTTTTAAATGCTGATTATAATTTGGACATAAATACAGTGTTTCATTTTTGTGTGTTATTAAATTGAAATGACAAAAAAATTCAGATTCTTATTATTAACTTCTATTTTATGTGTATTGTTTCCTTGAATTTCAAACATGTTTACAGTGAATTTGGTTGATATAAAATAATATAAAAGGTTTGACGATAAAGGAGAAATTCTCACCCCGGGTTCCATCCAGAGGTGTGTGTACTGGCCTGTGTGACCGCTGCTTTGTGCTGCATTGTGCGAACTAGCGGCAGATCTGTGTGGGCTGAAAGGAACCTGTGCTTTAACCATTATCTGTCCAGGTTGCATTAACTCTGTGTAACCTCAGTAACCCCAAGATTTCCCATGATCCCTTGCAGTGGCAGAGTTGGATGGCCTGCTGAGCTCCCAAAATTCCCTGATAAGGAAAATGAAGGAGGAATGCGCCACTCTGGGAGCCCTGCTGGAAGAGCGCACTGAAAACAGCAGGTGATTATTCAGCTTTTATTCAACTGAGTTCCTCGCTCTGTCTCTACCAGCTGTGTTCAAGTGCAGTAATCCTAACACAATTATTAGATTACATTTAAACGGCCCAGTGACTACAATTTGTTCCACCATTTTAACAAAGAATTGAAATAATATTAAACGGACCTGTGTGTTGTGTTATGTCTGTGTGGTTTAACTCCGAATGGTCTTATAGTAATGTTGACATCTCTGAATTTTAACTATCAAACAATGTACTACACACATGCAAGGTTCTTCTCAGGGTGTAGGGTGAAGTTTCATCTATTAGGATATGGTATATATTAGAAAAAAGTAGAAAAGAATATATGTAAGAAAACATTTATTCAGTGATATATTGCGTCACATTTATTCAAATCGATTCACATTACATCTAAATTATTTGTAAAAAATCATATTCTTTACAAAAATTCCTTATTTAAATGTACTGTTCTCATAATTTAAAAAATGTATTAAATTATGTTTGTACTTGTTGTGCTTGATATTGTATTATATTATTAGAAGTAGTTTATATAGATATAGATATAGATAGATGTGTAGGTATAGGTGTAGGTATAGATTGATTGATGAACTGCAATATATCTTCCTTTGTTTTAGTATCGAGATATATCATATCACGACATGCATATTGTGATACATATCATATTGTACACCTCTAGTAGATAGATATCTTTATTGCGAACGCATGGTCTAGAGTAAAAAACAGAAAAAAACTATAAGAGACAGCCTTAAGAGACAACTGTACCATTGTTTCCAAAGCTGTATGGTAGCAAATGGTATTTTGTCCTACATTGGTAACAATAAACTCACAGTATTTTTTGTCAATCAGATGACACATATTTTATGCTATTCATTTTTATTATATATTGTACTAATGGTTTGCAATGTCACCCTTGTACCCAGGTTTTAATATGCCTTAGTTTAGCTGCTGTGTGCATGTCATCTTTTGTTAAGCCTCATCTTTCCATGGCAGCTTTGGAGGCAGTATGTGGACATCCAACTACACATTGACCTGTTTTCTTGTTAACCTGATGCTACAGCAGTCACAGCAGGCCGACCCAGCCCCATCTGCGCTGCCTGTGCCTCGTGTGTGTAGTGTGTGTGTAGTCTGTATGTATTGTGTGATTGTATGCTCAGTGCTTTTTGTGTGGTTTTATTTTTGTGTATATCTTAGTAGCTGCGCATTAGTCAAATGACACTGGCCTTCAGAGCTCCTCAGCCACAGGCCACACAGCACTGCTCTGTATTGGTATATGGGTGCACATTAATGACACATCTTACATTTGTGCGTCCGCTGTGTGTGCTTCCTCCCATTCGCCGACACAAATCAACTGTATGTGTTTGTGGAGAGGTTTAGGCTCACTCTGCTCTTGGTGTGTTTTGTGCCTTCGGCTGTTTGAGCTCCTGGAGTCTAAGCCCAGTGTAGCGGTGAAAGTCCTGCTGGACAGCCTCAGCTCAGCTAAGTGCGCTTACACTCCACAGTTGCTGCAAAGTAACTTAGAAAAGTAAAACAAAGTGTCCTCAGCAGTTTGTGGCTCCTTTCTGTGGCAGGCAACTAAGTGAATGATGAAACTGTACCACTTTATAATAACTACACCTTAATTAGCCTTAATAAGCATGAACAAACACTCTCTTCATTATGAACAAATAGTTTGAGAAAGATTCAGGCTGAGTAACTACATGATTAAAGGGTTAGGAGTTAGGGTATTAAGAAGTTGCTAATCCCAAATCATTCTTAAAAAGGAATTGTGAACTTAGTCTTTTTTCATGTTTTATTAAGTCTAATTAAATGTAGATATTATTATCTATCCTGTTTTTACTGTCACTGTCATTTATAGGATAAATATATGTTTTTGAGCTAAAGTAGTGTTATTTGTCTGTGGCAGGCGTGAAGTGGAGCAGTTGTGTTTGGAGAGGAGACACCTCTCGGACACAGTGAAGAGTCTGAGAGCGCGCTGTGTGGACCTGGAGCAGCAGTGTGTGCAGCACGGGCGCATGCACCAACGCATGAAAGACAGGTACATCTGCTTTGCATTAAGGGAGTGGGATGGCACAAGTATTTGTACAAATAGTAGTAATGGATAGAGCTAGTTATAGTAGTTTTATTATAGTAGTTTGTGGTGTGACATCAAATACATTGGCACAATTCAACTTACCTGTGTCAGTAATCACCATACATGTTCCACTATTTGTAGCAAAAAAAGTTTGAGATAAGTTTCTTTGACTAATTGTGAAAAGTAAAAGCTGCTGCTTACCTTTTAGACTCCTATATGAGCATGTTTCTCCTGGGCTTATGCTACACTCTGTATGTGCGGCCCTGGGGTGTGGCTGGCGATCAGCCTGGTGCTCCGGTGTGGGCGTGGTTGTGTGGGAGTTGTTGCCCCGCTCGGCAGGATCACTACCCCAGCGCCCGCCCCCCCCTCCTCAAACACACTACCACACTCTTCTCCCTCGTTCTGTCACTGACACTACATATTGTCTACCACCCACTGGCGTTAACCTGTCGACTGCGTCGGCGCTGCCAAAAAACAAAGTTTACCGAGTCACAGCTGCCTCCTGGTTGTGTGCGACCGTTGCGTTTTGTGGATGGGAAAAAAACTCAAGTTGTCATAAAGTGTGAAGTATGAATATTCTGTACGTTTATGCACATATGTTATGGTGGTATTTTTATGGTGGTGTATGTGTATGGCTCGCTATTGCATGTTCTCAAGAGGGTTTAGAGCAGGAGTCTGACTGCCAAAAGTGGATTGGCTGGGAAGTTGGCACCTAACTTCTCTCGTCTCCCAACTGAACCACGATAATCACTCTTGGCATTTAGTGAGTTTTATTTTCTGCTTTGACACTTACTGAGATGATGAATCCTCCTGATATTGTGAGTCTCCAGAGCTCAGTTCTGCTGTAGGTCAGTTTAGACCAGGGCTTGACCAGAAAACCATTGTCCCAGTGCATTTATAGATGTTATCTTTAGTGATGGCTGCATTGTACAGTTTGTTAGCTGTAAAAGTTTTTGGTGTTTGCCTGGAAGTTGTCGTACATATGGTGATTTGCCCTTTGATAATTCAATACGCAAGTATACGTTATGTGGTTAGTTACGTGGCCTGTTCTCTGGGTGGGCGCCCTGCCGCGCTGCTTGGGGGTTAAGGTGTATGTGTTAACAAGCTGGTGCAAGTGGGTTCAATATCCAGCGCCCCGCCCCTCCCCACAGCCTCTCCATCGGCCTGCAATCTGTGCTGCGAAGAGCGGCAACAGCGCACCACGCACAAAACATTTGGAAAATCAGCTTGATTTATTTTTACATGGGCAAGCTGATTGCCAAACTACACAGGGGTTTTTAGCACACAATGTTTTGCTGCACCAATTATTTATTTATTTCACTATTTCTGTGTCGCTTTTTGTTTTTTTCCCTTTTCCTTCCAGCCAAGAGGAGTTTGAATGGAAAGGAGGCTAGCATCTGATTTAACTGCTATGCAATATTAATATAAACACAATTATAAATACATTTTTACAAAGAAACTTATTTACTTTTGCTTTATTTTTCTGTGTAGTTACAAAACAATCTTATTGTTTTTTGATTCATTATTGAGCTATTGCATGTAGATTAGAATTAGTAGTTTTAGCGTTTTCATGAGTTTTAGTGACAAAAAAAACTTGTAATAGTGTTTTTAATAATTAAAAAATGTGTAAATGTAATGAAGTTGTTGTGATGCGGCATCTTTTCTTATCAATCAAGTTTCTCAAGACTTTTTGCAATCTAAACAACTGGAAAGAAAAATTGCCACATTAAGTGATTAAAAACAGTTGCAAGCCTATATCGTAGCAAACCTCTTCTCTTTTGCCAGATATTGTATTTAAATAAGTAGAAACGTTCTTTTTCTATTAGATATGGGACTATATTTATATTTCAAGTCCAGTACTAAACCTTAGTAGTTCTGGTTATGTGGATTACAGTTCTGTGTGTGAGCTTTACTGTGTGGTCAGCTATTCCCCCATGTTGTCTTATCTTACTTAGCACCGTCTCGCTTTAATTTTATGCATGCAGACTTTTGAAACTGTTGAACTTTTTTCCACTCTCCTCCACTGCTTCCTTCCTTTTCAGTCTGTAGCAAACAGCACACAACCTTGTCACCCCACAGCTGCTGTCAGGCTGTTTCACCAATTATCACTGTGCTTGTACACACTTAGGTCACATACACTTGTACACACTTAGGTCACATACACTTACCCTTGTCACACACACAGTGACAGACCCAGTCAACACCATCACAGTGTGCTGTGTGCTGTATGCGAGGCGAGCAGCCTTAAAGCAGAGCACAGCATATACGCAGATGTGCTGCAGATCCACAGGCTTCACTGGGCCATATGGGCTCCATGAAGAAAGATGGTGCGTGCGTCTGGAGGAGCGCTGCGCAGGGAGGAGGGCTGGAGGACGATGGAGGGCCATGTGTGGTAGGAGCTGTGCAAGCAGTTGTTGAAGTATGTGAGCCATGGATGTGTGTGTGCTCGAGCACCAGAGGCTCCAGGAGATTGGTTAATGGAACAAATGGTCGCGGCGGGCCAGGGAAGAAGAACAGGCTCGCTGCTACCGCAGGCGCACGCAGCGCCCCGGGCGAGGGCTGCTTCATCTGGGCTCTTGCCACCCACACCCCCGCACCCCCACACCCTCCACTCCCAAACACGCACTGTGCTGCCATTCCCCACAAGCAAAAGGATGCACCTCTTTAAACTTTTCATTTGCAAATGAAGTTGGCAAGGCCTGGTACAAGGAGTGCTTTTATTAGTCTCATCTGTGTGCACACACTGAGACATGGGGCTGATGAGAGACTGAAGGATCAAATGAACACAGGCACAGGCCAGTGCACCAGACATACTGTCTTTATCCTCTACTATAATGGACCTCACAAAGAGACCAACTACTAGAGATTAAGCCACTCAGCTCATTTACATATTTAAGATCCAGGTTTTGCTTTCTATTTTGAATCACTGTCCCTTTTTTCTTTTAATACGTGACATATTATTACAAACACATCATAAATCTAAGTATTTGATCATGTATAGAGCCAAATAATACTATTTCTTGGGCCCTCACATCTTCTGTTCCTCTGTAATCTAAACTGGCTCCCTCTGGGTGGCGCTAAAGTCCTCCTCTCCTTGTCTGTTCTTGTGGTCTGTGTCAGTACTGCCCAGCTGGCTTCTGTAGCCGGGAGCAAGTGCAGGGCGGCCTGCTGAAAAAGCATTGTCAAGCGGTGGCTTTACAGCTCTATCACTCACACACAAACGCGCTCAGACGCACACATTTCAGCTCAGATGTCGCTGTAGCCAGCGGCTCACAAGCTGGAGCGTTAACTGTGCAAAGCTTCACATCTCCAGCCCCAGTCAGCGACACTCGCTAACACAACTTCATAAAAGTACAAGTAGAAAAGCACAAACACCTGCCCCTGCTTCAGAAGTAACTACACAAGGAGTCAACTCTTTATGCCATGAAAGCAGTGCTCAAACAGAGCCTGCCTCACGGCAGCACTTTGACTCTGCCTAAATGATAACGTGCCATCGGCTTCTCTCAAACCTGTGTGAATGTGGCCTCATAATAAAAGCAACAACTTCTGCTCACATTTACAGCTGCTGCAGGCGTCACTCTTAACCCATCTGTATTTAAATATACAAGTGTCATTCTGTCTAACCTAGCTGCCTACCTACGCAAAGAGAAAGGACTTTCCTCCTCCTTTATCTCTGCTAAAAATCATGTTCTAACAATTTTTAAGGGCAAGAAATTATTATTTATCTATTTATTTATTTATTTATGACACGGCAACAAGTTTTTGCCATAGTCACTTTTTCATTTACAAGGAAAGAATTCAGACTTTATTACAGTAAATTATTTTAATGTTAACAGCCATATAATGCAGTTATTCAGAGAACTTTATTTGAGGAATACATTTATTATTTATTTAATATTTATACAATAAACATTAAATAGTAGTCTGATGTCACCCATCTTTGTTCTCATTTTTTTAACATTAGTTTAAATAACCACCCAAAAGCGTAAAAAGGCCTTAACTCTTCTTAAAACCTCACCTCTTCTGCTTGTACTGATCTCACAGTAAATCAAACATTGAAGGGAGGCATGTGAAGCACCCTGATCAAAATCAACAGTGTTCCCATGTCAAACGATGTGTGTTAGCAAGAGCAACAACTGGCATGACAGGTTGGCGGTGCGGCAGAGGGGGCATCGCCGTGGGGCACACACACAAACACACGCTCTTCAGTGCCGCGCTGTGCCAGCCAAGATTCTCTGGAGCTCAGGGCGGCCAGGGTGGCACAGCGGGCCTAGGATTGGGCAAAAATCTGCTTTAGTGATTGTGTGCATGTGTATGTGTGTGTATGCGTGTGTGTGCAAGTGAGTGTGTGTGTGCATGTGCGGCAGCTGTAGTCAGGATGCCTCCGGCCGTGTTGTTGTAACCAGGCGGGCCGGGGCCGTGTGCCTGCACCCCTCGCCCCCCTCGCCCCCTCGCCCACCTCGTCCCTCTTCCACAAACAGGTTTAGAGCGTCAGGACAGGCCGCTGGGTTTGGGCAAAGGCGCAGGAAGCAGTGATGAAGGGCCACACGTGTGAATAAGGAGCGGATAATTGAATTGAACTAATTAGATCGAGAAATGAATAGCCCTCCAATGTGCTTAATTGCATTTAACCTTACAGAAATGTATATAAAATGTAATTTGTGCCACTATTTTTTCATTGATTTACTCCTAGTTTTTATAACTGTCACTTTCTTCTCATCAGTTTTCTCCTTTTTGCATATTACAATATTGAACATAACACTTATTTACTATCAAGGCTGCACAAAATTTGAATAGCCTAGAAAATGACTTACGATACCAGTAAACTTCTCATTTGAAATTTGAGTAAATTGACAACTTGAATCACTCTGATCATTTACCAAAGATAATCAGCTTTATTAATGTAAAACGCATATACTTGTTTTTATGCTTTCAGATCATGACAACATAAATAACTATTGACA